TGATTCACTTATACAACTCAGTTCAATTCAATTGAATAGCTCTGAAAACTTTAATTAAGCTTTATGCCTACTCTCCTATCTCACTCATTCACTCTTTTTCTCTCTCTCTCTCTCTCTCTCCCTCTCACTCCCTCTCTCTCTCTCTCTTTGCCTTTGTCTTTAGCACATCACACACTTAGCTGTCCCATTGCACTTACAGCTAGCACATACTTTACTTAGCTTTAATTGATTACAAATTTACACTAAAATCGAAATTGTAATTCGAAATGTCATTTATAAATTTTCCATACAGATCTCAATCGGCGTGAGAGTTTTGCAGCTACAAACTGAATAATTAAAGGGAAATGCTCTGAATTGGGACTAGAGCCAACACGCAAAATATACACACACATACACAGTTACCTTTTCAGCTGTTTGTATTTATGGCACACACACATTCACACCCACACACATAGATATATGTATATGTGGCATAGTTGTATGAGTCGTAAGACATTTATATAAATTCTCTGGCTGGCGGCACAAATTGTCTTATGCATTTTGGGCTGGCTTTACGGCTTCACTGTCGAGGTCTTCTCTACGGGCTGCCGGCGCTGTTGGCCTGCCTCAGTTAACGGCGCAAATATTGCCGAGCTTAACTGTGCTTTGTGCCCAAGTCAATATCAGGCAAATATTAAGCATACGCACAGTGCGCCAGCATAATGCATGAAAAATTGAGCATGTCATTGACGCCGTCGCCCATTGTTATTGTTGCTGTTGTTGTTGTTGTTGCTGTCTCGATTGTTGTTGTTGTTGCTGTTGTTGTCGACTGTTTTGTAGTCTAGGCACGTTCCATAACGTTGCTCCGGGCTATATGTACATATTATAAAACGGAAATGGAGCCTGACTTCAACTTCGCTTTGGGGTCAAAGTTTTTAATCGCCTGGCATTAGAGTCGTGTGTGTGTAGGGGCGTGTGAGTGGGCGTGTATTTTCGCTGGCACAAATTGACGCTTTATGTTAATGCCATTAATTAATAAATAAAATATGACATTTGCGTGAACCTTTTCGGGCCTAGGATTTTATTAATTTTTAGCACGTAATAAATAAAAGTTTATTGCGGTTTTTGACTCCGCCCCAAAGGCCCTGGGCGATCCGTGGCTAACCCCGAGCTGTGAATTTAATTTCCACTCCTGCGGCAGCTGAGTCCCAGAATTAGAGGCTTTGCGATTTACGATTTTCAATTTGCTTTATTTTAACATTTATCACTAAGCTACCAATGATAAAGAGTTACAAATTCAATTATTAAAGTACAAGTTTGATGAGTTGCCAGCGAGAAGATCTCGCAATGGCGCCTAGTTCAAAAATTTGCATATCTAATGTAATATATTAATTTATTTGTGTTTTTAACTACAATTTTACCTTAAGTTAAATAGTTTTTTTTTTTTTTTTATTTACTTTTAGTTCTTTTGACAAATTGAAATAGTATTTTGTTTCGAGCGTAGATTGGCGCATTTAGATATGCATGAATTATGTGTGAGTGTATGTGTTTGTGTACGTGAGTGTGAGTGTGAATGTCTGTGTGTGTGTAAATAATTTATGTTAAATTTATGCAAACTTTTTGCACTGAACACAAATGGCGCAAATTACATCGCACCCAAAGAAAATGGAAAAGTATTTTTTTTTTTTTTTTTTTTTTTTTTTTTTTTTTGGAGTTTTGATAAAATTGTTTTTGAGCAGAATTTATATGTAATTTCGCGTTTCAGTTTTGCCGTTTTCGACATTTATTTTTAGAGTAAATTAGCTTTTTATTGCATATTTTGGCAGTTTGTTGGTTTTGTTGCTCAAGGCAATATTTTGCGTATTATGGATACCCCTGCAGACTGTGTCAAGCACATAAATATCTATCAATAAATGTCCGAGCCCGCATTAAATGCTGTCCCCTCTGCGCTGAGCTAAAATATATCACTGCGATAGGACAGGTGTTGACGCATAACGGGAGCGAAACAGTTTCAAAATGTTTTGTTTATGGCTCGAATCAAAAGTGCAAATTAGCTGGGAATTTAACATGTTTGAACAAAATTTGAGTGGAGTGTGGTAGCTGGTTCATTCAAAATTCAGTTGGCATTCCTAATTATTTAAGCTACGGAGTAATTACTTTCATTAAAGTGTTAACTGAATTTAGTAAAATGTTCGTATATTTAAGCTAAGATAAGAATTCTGAGATAAGCTTAAATTTAATTATTGACTTTTTATAAATGTTGGATGTAGAATCTAAAAATAATGCCTGATTTCCTATTTTCAATGGCTTTAGGGTATAATGAGATAAAGTTTATGACCTCTAACATCAATATAAGATATAAGAACAAACTTATTTCTTCATATGAATGCCAATAATATGATTTGTAAATTTTAAAATAAGCAGCAGAAAGCCCTTTGTAATTAAAATGTATCAGCTAAGGTTTTAATACATCAAATGAGGAGATTTTTATACAATTTTATTTTTTGTTTTTGGAGAATTTTTAGGAAATCATTTAAATTGATTATCATGCATCTACATTCGATTGCAGTTAGCTTCATGTGTTTGCCTGTCATTGTCCTTAACGAGTACTTCAAAGTCATAAGTCTCATGAAATTTGTTTACACAAATCCAGAAATCACTTTTCACATACCGCTTCGATGCGTGCTCCTATTGGAAAAGTCATTTAGTGTGGCAAAACTTTGATCTGACTTAAAACAACTTTCGTGGTTTGAAAACTCTATTTCCGCAGCAAATGACTGAGGGGAGTGGAAAAGTATGCGATGCATCGATCTCTGTTTTAGTTAGTTAAAATAATTCTAGTTGGTCAAAAGTAATTTAAATTGACTGTTGATGAATTTAACAGATATAAGGAAACATAAATGAAGTTTAAAATTTATATAACATAACGACTTAAGGAAACAGAAAATGCTTAAATATTTATATATTCTTTCTGTAACAAATTAAGAAAACTTTTGAAGTGTATTCTAAATATATTTTAAATAAATTTTGAAATTAAGCATAAACAAATAATGCCTATACTACGTTCCTCATCTTTCATAACAGACAATCATTCTCATCAATAAGTTCATCTACATTAAATACATATTCATAGAGATAACAACTTATAATATAGATTCCTCAACTGGTCTGCAAGGGTATACGATCTTCGGTAATCCGCAGATATTTAAATTGTACAACTTGTATTTCCTTGGGGCATTCATTAATTTAATGAATTAAAGGCTTAGTTTATGTTGAATATAATTGAATTTGTGCCTCACTTAATTGTTGAATTTACAATTCAAATTTAATTTCTGTTCGCTCCCTGTCTTAGCTCATCTCTGTTTAAGTATTTGCACATATGTCCCTTTTACGCTTAAGTTGGCTCTTAATTAGTTGCCTCGCTGCTTGGATTTAAAATGATGACATCAATGTGATGATATCGATATCACTGTAATATCTTAATATGCGCTTCTTTAAAAATAAGGCTCAATCGCACAACGAATGGTAAGAATGGCAAAAGTGCTTCGAGTATTTTCGCACTGCGGCCAACTACATATACATATACAAATATGTATATACATATATGGAATATTCAATTTAAAAATAAAGTACCGAAAGTGTGCCGTCGCCCGTATAATTGGCACGACTCGAGTATATTTCGTATTGGTATCGGTGGATAATTTGTATGTTTGTATTAAAATGGACCATTTAATATGTGTTCGACCCGCTCTGGTGTTTGGCCTCTTTGTTTATTCGTTTGTTAATATTTATCTTTCGATTTTTATTTTATTTCTCTGTTGTTTGCTCTTTGTTGCGTTTTCTTTTGTTATGATAATTTTTTGCCTGGTAGCAAAGTTCATTTAAATACTTTTGTATTGAGACAATGATAAAGCTTTACGTCTGCTAACAGTGTGAGTGTATGTATGTGAGTGAATATGTGTGTGTGTGTGTGAGTTTTATTAATCTTAGTTTATGCTTTAGAAATCGACGAATTCAATGCGCTGAAACCGCACAGAATAGTATTGTATATCATAATAGGTTTATAGATTTTAGAAAATTCATCAAGTTGCGATTTTTATTTAGTTTTTGTTTTTGTTTTGTTTGTGTTTTTTTCTTTGTGGGATTTTTCGACTTGGACTATAGCACGTGCTACTAACTACGACAAAAGACTAGAAAGAAGTGACAATTCGGAATTCGATTCACGTAACTGGAGTACACTACAAAATAACTCTAAGTCCGCCTGCCCGCCCCTAGACGGAGGTGGTGATTTGCTCTACGAAATGAACGGGACGACTTAGCGATTGGGAACGCTTCAGCCGGCATTGCGGATTGCCTCTGGATGCCTGACAGCTGCTGCCAGCTCCAGCTCCTGCTCCGACTCCTGCTCCTGCTCCGACTCCTGCTCCTGTTCCGGCATGGCGACTCTGTCGATGTGGCGTTCGCTGCAATGAGGCGTAGGCGTGCGGCACGTAGATAAACTCACAGGATGGCCCTGCCCCAGCTGCCAGGCCAGCCCCATGACGGCAGTTACACTGCTGCGACATGGTCGATAGGCCCTCTGGCACGCTGCGACTGCGTGCCGAACTGCCGCCCCCGCCCCCGCCTCCTCCTCCATATGTCGTCGAGTTGGGGCTGCAAGTACATATGAGTGGCTGCCTGTCCTGAGATCTGCAAATAAACACGTCCACAGTCAGAGAGAGAGAGAGAGAGAGAGAGAGAGAGATGTGAGGTGAGTGAGATGGGGAGACTCTCTAGAGAGCTGCTTCAGCTGCATAAATAGCGCAAGTGCAAGTGCAATGATGTTGTTGACATTTTGTTGACGCCGACACGAAGCCGAACAACTACCCATTGCCTTTCGAGGGCTTCACGGCATTTGCCACCAGCGCGTCAGTAGTTTGAATAATTGAACGTCAGTTACCCGTTAACTAGCCAATCCAAGCCGCACACCCATTACACATTACCGAAAAACCTAATCAAGCCGAATGCAAGCACTCAGCTTGGATTGCTGTCAAGTGCATTCAGTCAGCATGACGTACAGATGCATTCATGCCAATAATAATTCAAATATTCGAGTATTATTATCAAAAGTTCATTTAGCCATTCAATTGATTATGTGGGAAATTCTCGCTCAAGAAATATTACATTTACATACAAATAT